TAGCGGGAAGCCTGCCTCTCCCTCTCCCACTCCCCCTGCTTGTGTTCCCTCTCTTGCTGTCTCTCTCTCTCCATCAATTAAATAAATAAATAAAATCTAAAAAAAAAAAAGAAGAAGAACTAAGCTGAACTGTAGCACACCTAATGGGTGCCCGTGTGACAGAAAGGTCATTGGTGTGGAAGAAACCCACATATTTGTTGTTGGAAGGTTGTGGTACAAACGACTCACACCATTTATTCAGCACTCACAGTATCCCAAGCACTGTGCCCTTTGCATGCACAGTCTCATTCGTGTACTTGACAATTGTGCACAATTGTGCACCACATTACAGAAGTAGACGGGAAGCTGAGAGGGACATGATCATCACTCGATGCCTATCAGCCTTGGAATTCCAACCCAGCTCTGACTCTGAAGTCAGCGCTGTGTTTAAAAATAATTCCTTAATTTACTTTGAATTTCTTGCATAAGTAATACACGCACGTTTTACAAATGTCATCAGGCACAGAAAGGCAAATAGGGGATATTCTGTGTTGAGAGATACACAGCAACATGCACCACTGTTTTCCCCTTTCTTGTTTTTCCTTAGCTGTTTATCTTGGGGATCATCCCCCTATGCTTCACTTTCTGGGTTTTTTTTTTTTTTTCTGATAATTAATTGAGCTGAGATTCCCATCACATAAGCCAACCATTTGAAAGTGAACAATTCTGTGGCACTTAGTACATTCACAGTGTCGTGCCACCACAACCTCCATCTAGTTCCAAAGCACTGTCATCACTCCAAAGTAAAGCCTCCAGCCCCTGGTCACCACCATCTGCATTCTGTCTCCATGGATTTATCCATCCTGGATATTTCATATACATGGATTCATACAATCTGTGACCTTTGGCATCTGGCTTCTTTCACTCAGCATAATGTTTTGGAGGTTCATCCATGTTGTAGCATCTATCAGTACTTTATTCCTTTTCAAGGCTGAATAATATTCCATTGTATGGCGTACCACTTTGCTTATCCGTTCATCTGTTGCAGGACATTGGGCTCCTTCTACCTTCTGGCTGCAGTGAAGAGTCCTGCTAGGAACATGCACGGACGTACAAGTGAGTACTTGTTTGAGTACCTGTTTTCAATTTTAGGATTGGAATTCCTGGGTCATATTGCAATTGTATATTTAACTTTTTGAGAAACTGCCAAACTGTTCTTCTCATTGACCAAGCCATTTTGCATTCCCACTGGCAATGCCCAAGGGTCCCAATCTCTCCACATCGTCACCATTACTTATTTTCCCTTTTATTTTTTACAGCTGTCCTAATGGGCGTGAAGCGGTTTTGATATGTGTTTCTCTAACTGATGATATCGGAGGTAAGGTGTAAGCTGTTGAGCATTTTTCTTGTGGTGGTTGGCCATGTGTGTATCTTCTTTGGAAAAATGTTCAAGTTCTCTGCCCATTTTAAAAATCTGGTTGTTTTGTTGTTGAATTATAAGCATTCTTCCCCTATTCTGGGTACTAGACCTTTATCAGAGATCACTCCTCACTTTCTTCGTGTCTGCTCAAATGCCACGTTATTGGAGAAGTCTCCCCAAAGGGCATATACTCTAGCAATTCTCCCTCATCCTTCTCAGTCCTCTTCCTGCTTTATCTTCTCCACAGCATTGATCACCACCTAAAATATAAATATAAAATGTAATTTCTGTGTGTGTGCGTGTGTGTGTGTGTGTGGGTATGTGGGTGTGTGGTGTAGGTTGGGAAGTCTCTATCCTGTGGAATGCAAACTCTATAAAAACAGAGGCTTTGCTCTTCTGTTCATCTCTATTCCCAGCTCCTGAAAAAGAGCCTTAGCACCCAATAAGTATTAGTAGAACAAATGATGGATGAATGAATGAATGAGAATAGATAGAGCTACCTCATTCTTTTGATAGGTGAAAATAGTTTTATAAACTACTTGTAGTTTGATAAAACGTGATTCTTAGACTACGGTGTTACCTAACCCTTAAGCTTTAAGAAAATTGTTCAGGCCTGTCTGGTCCCTGAAACCAGCCGCTGCCCCTTCTAGGCTTTATCTAGCCATCAGGTCAGAAAAGCAGGCTGCCCTCCAGCACCATTCACCCTTCACAGACGAGGGGTCTGCACTGCCTGCCCTCCCCCGTGTCAGGTGCCACATCCAAACCTGTTTCTAAGCTGCTCACTTTTTATATTCTCCCTCTTTCTGACCTCACCTCATGTTGGATGTGACCCTCAGCACTGTTTTACCAGCTCTGCCCCTTGAATATCCATTGTGTTCTGTAAATATCTTTCTTTGTCCACCCGGTTTCTGGACCATATTCTGGGTCCATTTTCTTGAGCAGATCTTTTACCAGTTCCTCCTCTCTTGGTCCTGTGATTTGAACCCAGTTAAGCATGTTTGGTGGTAGCTGTTGGCAGAAAGTAGGTGGAAAACGATTTCGTCTACACTCATACTCTCTCTTTCAGTTGGGCTGAGGCGCGGCCATCAGCAACTCTCCCATCATCTTCCGATCACGGGTGAGGCTTGCTATCTCCCCAGCAATCAAGACAGAAGTTCTAAAGGTTGGGTCTCTGGATGATAGGATTAGGATCACCTAGGAATTGGCTGAAGATGCGAAGTCCAGGGCCCCATCCAGGAACCTGGACTTAACACCCGGTCCCCCTGCCCCCAGGCGATTCTGATACTTGCTAATGTTTGAGAGCCACCGGGTCAAAAGATGATGGGCACTGGGCTGTGCTCCCTGGCAGAGTTGGGAGGCGCAGGGCCAGTGGTGTGAATTTCCCAATTCAGAGACACTAACAAGGGGCTATCATCTTGCAGAGATGTTAGGCAAATAGACCCAGTCCAAGTGTCTGCTTCAGATCGAGACGGAACAGACAGAGCAAGACAATGAGGGAGGAATAACAATGAGAAACACGATTTTAGCGGTCGCTATCCACATTGCTCCAATGGCAGGAAGTCTTTCCCCTGGTAACTGGGGGACTTGGAACTAGTCCTTCATTTGAATCCTGCTCACGTTTCAGCAGAGGACTGGATGGAAATCATATTGCAGGAAGGGATGTGCAGACCCTGAGCGAGAAAAGAAAAGGCGTCTAAAATGTGAGAGCCTCAGCAACAGGACCCAAACGAGGATGGGAACGTGTTTATTGTGTGAACTTCTGACCCTGCCATCCCGGCGGCACTGTGCACTGAGGCAGATCAAAGGTCTGCCTGTGTAAACAGAAAAGAGCTGTCTGCCTCGAGACCCTCCATAACCCTTTGTGGTCTAAGCAAAACTGCTGTGGACACTTCCTTCACCCTGCCTCCCCTGAAGCCCCAGCTGAGCCTACACAAAGGGAACTCTGTTCCCTGCTTGCTTGCAAGAGCTTTGTTGGCTGGGCTTGGTAATGACGTTGAGGATGACAACATAATAATAGCTAACACTCATGGATGCCTTCAACAGTCCCACGAAGTAGATGCAGTTCCTGTCCTCCTTTCATAGATGGGGGAAGCAGGGTTCTGAGAAGTGGGGAGACTTGTCCCATCACCTAGCTGGAGAGTAACACAGGGCCGGGGTTGCCCTTGGCATTGACCCTGTAGTATCTCCGAGCAAGGGCTTGTTCCTTAAGGTTGGCTTTTGTTGCTCTCTTTTAACAAAAGAGAAATTATTTAAAAGTAAGAAAATCGGACTTTAGGGAGATACATTAGCTATCCAAGAGGATAAATCTAGAAGGTAGCAAAACCATGATTAGAACAGAGTTCTGTCCCCCACACTACAATGTCCACTGCTGTCTGACATTCCTGACCACAGTCAGAGCCCTCTCTCCTGAGAAGCCTCCCCGTCCACCTGAAGAGCTGCCTAAGGTTGGTGAGCGGCCATATTGTAAGGGAGTTCCATGTCTGGACCCAGGAGTTCAGCATGACCTGCTTCAGCTACTGGCTTGACCTTGGGCAAGCTACTTTGCCTCCTTTTTCCTCTTGTCTTCTAGTTTTGGTATAATTTATGTACATTAAATTTAGTCTTTTCAGCCTACAGTACTATGAGTTTCAACAAATGTATATCAACGCTCCCTGCCTACCACCGCAATTGAGGTATAAAATCCCCCAAATGTCCCTGTGCCCTTTGTAGTCAGTCCCTCTGGCAACCAATGATCTGTCTGCAGTCTCTATAGTTTTGCCCTTTCTAGAACATCATATAAATGGAATCAGTATATAGCCTTTTGAGTCTAGCTTCTTTTACTTAACATAATGCATTCGAGATGCATCTGTGTTGTTATGTGTATAGTTTATTCCTTTTTTTACTGCTGACCAGCAGGGATCTTAATGTAGCAGAAACCAATAGCAGCAACTGGCGACACCATCCCAGACTGTTGAGAACACCACCTACCAAGTCTTTGCTCATTATCTTCAAGATGGCATGGCTGTCTTGGAGATAATGGTAGCGAAGGCAACTGGACTCTCAGCTACACAAACACACCCCTTGGAGACTTCCCAGATTATCTTCTTAGTGATGGCAAGTTTGGGCTAAGAGCGCTGTGGTTTGGGCATTAACGTGTCCATAAGCTAGAGAATCTTGGGATACTCAGGTCACAGTAGTTGGGGTCAGAGCCAGAACCCAAACCCAGGACTATCTAGCTCTAAGTTCAACAGCTTCCAACCACATCCCCAGGGCCTGACCATGCTGTTCTTCAGGTGGGAGGAGAGACTGATGGCATGGGAGGAGAGCTTTTTGTGAGGCTTGATGATAACAGAATTCTTAGCGAGGACCATTCCAGAATGTAGCCTGAAGGTCCCGTCTCACACCTACTGGTTCTGCATCCCCAAAGGGCACCCGGGCCCCTGTATTGTTTAGCAAGCTTCACAGGACATTGTTATGTCACCTTCATTGAAAAGTGCTCCAGGGAAGAAATAAACACATCATTCTGTCCCCAAGCAGTGGAGAGAATTGGGTAGAATCACATTTCTAGATATTCTTCCTCCACTAGTTGCCTAATGACATCAATTATTTGCTTTTCCTCTTTTGGTACTGGCCCCACCAAAAGTCCTTAGTCACTCTCCGCTTCAGACACACATGCAAAGCACAGACCGAGCACATGAATCCACCTGCTAAATCAAAAAAGCAAGACAGCCAGGCTCGGGGCTCATCCTCCTGGTCTGTGTTCCACGGGTGATGGCCAGGGATATGGTCCCCTGGGTCTCTTTGGTTCACCCACCCATGGAAACTTGGCAAATTACATGTATGTTTTGGATATTCAGTAGCTGTTACTCATGGAAATCCTGAATCCACGTGAACACTCTTTCCAAAACCAGATGCAGTTTCCACTCAGAGAAATCTTGGCACCAATTTCTTCGGAACAATCACAAGTTACAGGCAGGACCTGGGAGGGCTTGATGAAACTGGTGGTTGGCATGGCAGATCAGGGGTCTACTAGCAAAGGGGAAGATGCTCCTGGCTAACATTTCCCTGTCCTGCAGCACCTGGTGGCCGGTGGTCTCTAACTCATGGGTCTCAGAGACGGGTAGTCACCTCCTCTAATTCAAACCTTCCTTGAAAAGGATTGCTTTGTTAAGATATAGGCAGCCCCATTCCAGATATTTAAGGCAGTTTGGTAGCCAGTAACAGAAAGTCCCTAACCAAAGGTTAACTCCAACCTAACCTAGCTCCTAACCTAGCTCCAACCAAGAAAAAGGAAGCATATGAGAAGAATCCAAAAACATCTCAAGGGACTCTAAGGGCAGCTGGGTATCAGAAAGACTCATAAAAGATTAGAACCAGGAACCAGAATGACATAGTTAAGAAGCTGCTACTCCCTTCCTTCCCGTCATCCCCTCTCTCAGGCTCCCAAATCTCTTTTTCGGAATATCTCTCTCCATCACTCTGTCTCTGAATTTCTCTCTCCAAGTTGGCTTTTGTCCTCAAGTAGCTGAACAGTGTCTCCAGCCTCAAATCCAAGATAGAACGTGAGGGGTCAAGCTTTAGACAAGTGTTTGTCTCGGGCCCAGACAAAGGGGTAGGAGAGGAGGGTCATCCATGAGGGTTCCTGGGTCCCCCCAGAGTTCACTGGGCCGCCTTACTGTCCTGTCCTGGCATTCTCTGCTGACTTCTCTGTTTCTGCAGACACTGCAGAGTCCTTGAGGGCCGGACCCCAGCCCCTAGCTGGCTCCCTGGCCGTACTGGAGATGGTGGAGGGGCAGGCATCCTGGGCAATCCCACGTGACTTGCATTCTAGCAGGAAAACAGATACTAAGTAGCCACGCAGATACCTTATCTCTGAGCAACTCTTCACCTTCTTTTTCCAAATTATGTTCAGAATAGTCTATTTAAGATGGAAGGGAAAGAAAAAAAAAAGAGAGATGTGTAATAAACCCTCCCCAGATGTAATTCATTATTCGGAATTGTTAAAGTTTCTTTTTCTTTTTTAAAAGATTTTATTTATTTGAGAGAGAGGGCACAAGGTGGGGGGAGGAGGAGAAGCAGGCTCCCTGCTGAGCAGGAAGCCCGATGAGGGGCTCCATCCCAGGACCCTGAGATCATGACCTGAGCCAAAGGCAGACACCCAACCCACTGAGCCCCTGAATTGTTAAAGTTTTAAAAATCAATGCATAATAGTCATCTATGCAGACTGAATGCCTATGAGTCCTGGATATCTGAGGTTTCCTTGTTTGCATGGGGGGACAAATAAGCCCCATCCACGCCTGGGGCCATTATCTGGCTCCAGCTCTCTGGCCCTTTCACCCACCCCAGGAGGAAAGCTGTAACCATTCAAGCAGACAGAAGGGCCTTTTATGAAAAGAAATGCCCCTCCCCACAAGCCTGTGGGGACCCTCCCACTCCTGCTTCTCACCTCACAGTAATGGAGGCCACCGCTGGGCCTCGGGGAGGTGAGCATTTCTGTTAAGAGCAGATCTAAGGAAAGTCTATTTGGCACTAAGAGGTTTTTCATTTTGTTTTATTCTGGGTGGTGGGATGGGGGGTGGGGGGACTTGCCTATTGCTTTTTTTTTTTCTTTTGGTTTCAATTTATTCACAAACTATTTCAAACATACTAAAAATAATACAATGGACTCTCCCATACACCCACATGTAGTTAATCAACCATGATGATTAAATAGATATCAGTATTTGGACACTTCTAATTCAGAACCTCTCCCTGCTGGTACATTCTCTTTCTTAAAGAAATAAAGTGTTATAAATCCCACCGAGGACAGTCCCCATCTCTTCCTCTGCCTTTCACCTCCGGAGCAGCCTACACATTTCTGTATTTTTTTTTTTTTTTACTATATTTGTAGCATCCATAAACAATATAAATGGCCATTTTGTGTTTTTAAAATATGCACAGTTTTGTGTACATATCATTTTGCAAATTGCCTTTCCTGCTCCACATTATTTCTTCTGAGAATCACCCATGTTGTTGCCTAGAAATATTATTCATTACGTTAATGGCTGTATTCTATTTTTTGTAGAAATCCCAGTTTAGCCACTCTCCTTCTGCAAAAACCACTGAGTGGTTTTCACATTTTTTGCTACTGTAAATAGTGGCTTCAGTAAACATCTTTATACATGTCTTTGTAAGCACATGGTCACGAGTTTCTGGAGGGCAGACAGCCAGCCATGAAATTGCTGTGTGGGTGCTAGCTTTCTAGGTAATTTTTAGCAGGTGACACCCATTCTGCTGTCACTTCCTCAGTAATGAAATGGGACACCGGTTTAGGACACTGTAGGTCCTTCATAGAGAAATGTGAAAACTTAGTATTTTAAAATAATAATGTTAGAGTGCTTCCAATACCTTAGAAGAAAAAAACAAATGTCCCTAATTGTTTTAGAACTTAGACCAGTGTTATAATAGAAATTGTGGAATTTTAGAACGTTCCTCGCCCTAAAGATGATCCAGTGTCCCTGGACCCCTCACCTTACAATGGTCATTTAGATTGTGACCCTTTCTCAACTCAGGTCCCAAACCCACAGGGCTTCCCCTACCCCTGCCCCCAAGCTTCTTGGAGCCCAGACTGTGTGTGGATCTAGTTGGGGTCATCTCTCCACTGACCCTAGTGTCTTTCCTCTTTGCTTGTGAATGCCTCAGGCTGGTGATCAGATTGGCAAGAAGCTGGGCAGGCAGAACACCTATATTTTCTCATATTGAGGCCTGTAGATATTCTTACTTTTCTTTTTTTTTGTAGTTTCACTTAATAATGGGAACTATCAATACATCCCCACATTTTGGAATACAAAATATAGACCCCATATGAGAAAGTACATAGCCCTTCACCTGACACTTGGCGTAGCTCAACATGTTTTTTGGGTTTGTTTGTTTTTTTTAAGGTTCAGTCTGAAAGTCAAGACCTCCAGACCTCATGGCAAAACAAGTAAGGCAGAAGACAAGTCTTATTGGGAACAATTCCCAGTGGTCACAGCCAGCGTCATGGAGGGCTGAAAGAGGCAGTTTGCTCTATAAATCCGCACCCTGGCAGCTAGTGGCTTAGCCCCAGGGTGCCCCCCGGCCACAGCCTGCAGACCTGCTTCAGTTTCTTCCTAGAATGTGCACCTCAAGGGGCAAGGTGTGTGCCTGGAGAGTTGGCCCAGGTCCTTTGCATGGGCTCAGCCACCTCCAGAAAGCTAATGGATAGGTGAGTCGCCAAATATCCAGAGGACAGAGCAGAGGATGCTGGGGGAAGGGGCTTTCCCTGGATTTTCAGGAAAGCCCAGCCCAGAGGTTCAGAAGCTGAAGAGAACATAGCTAGAAGCCTCATTTTTTTGTGATAAACAGTGATGCGGAAAGTTCCACAAAGAAACACTAGCTCCGGAGTCTCCTTCCAGACGACCCCTCGCTTACTGTCTGGCTTTGAGAGGATGGCCTAACTTCTCTGAGTCTCCACGCCCTCACTAGGGAGTTGGGGTGTGCACAGTGTCCAGTGCCAAGAAGGCCTCAAATATGCTTTCTCCCCACTTGACACTCTGCTGTGGACTCAAGTGTATGAACAGGACAAAGAGGCCATGCGTCCTGTAGGGGAGGAAAAATTTCTCTTCTACCCTTGTAGGGTCTCCAGCTGGGCCTAAGAATTGAACTGACATAAGGCAGAGCCACAGAAAGTATATACATTTTACTAAAATTTCACATGTACATGGGAGACTTCACAAGAAAATGAGGACCCAAGGAAGTGACCAGAGCAGAAAGCTTACCGACTTTTTGACAAAGAAACAAGAAATTTGTGGGCGCCTGGGTGGCTCAGTCGTTAAGCATCTGCCTTCGGCTCAGGTCATGATCCCAGAGTCCTGGGATCAAGCCCCGCATTGGGCTCCCTCCTCAGCGGGAAGCCCACTTGTCCCTCTCTCACTCCCCCTGCTTGTGTTCCTGCTCTTGCTATCTCTGTCTCTATCAAATAAATAAATTAAATCTTAAAAAACAAAACAAAACAATAAATCTGTGAAGAAATGACCAGGCAAAGGGCTCTAGGCTCTGGATGGTAAATTGTGGAGAAGTGACTAGATTGGGGGGGCGGGACTAGTTGAAGATAGTGTCATTTTAGTGCATTTGCTTGTACAGATCCATTTTGACATCAGTTCCCAGAACCTACTTAATGATAAGGACATTCTTTGCTTGCTGGTACAGGGAAGGCACCTTCCTCACAGGGCAATTCATGGCCTGTTTTTAGGTAGAAAGGGGAGGTCTGAGAGCCTTTCCTGCATCTGCTATTTCTCAAGTGCCCTCAGCTCAAAATAATCAGTATTTGCAGTGGCATGTCCTGAATTCCTTCATCTTCAAACACGTTTTCCAAGTGGTCACCTGCAGAAATTGTTCATTTAATACTCTCAAGTCAGCTCCAACACCTCCCAGCCAGTTTAGAGCAGAGGAGTTTGGCAGTGAAGGATGAAGACTCTGGAACCAGATTCCTGGGTTCAAATCCCAGTTCAACCACTTAATGGCTACGTGGCCTTAGGAAAGTTTCCTTATTTGTAAAATGGGAATAAAAGTAGTAGTACCAACCTCAGAGTTTGTCTGAAAATTAAATGAGTTAACACCTGTTCCTGGCACATGGCACTCAGGAATGGTATTGCTATTTCAAAGTATCAATAAGTATCACTGGGGTGCTTGGGTGGCTCAGTAAGTTAAGCATCTGCCTTCGGCTCAGGCCATGATCCCGGGGTCCTGGGATTGAGCCCCATGCCAGGCGGAGCCCCATGCCAGGCTCCCCACTCAGCAGGGAGCCTGCTTCTCCCTCTCCCTCCGCCCTTCCACCCTCCCGCTCATGTTCACTCTCTCTTGCTCTCTCTCTCTCTCATGCTGTCTGTCACTCTCTCTCAAATAAATAAGATCTTTTTTAAAAAACAGCCATTGTTATACTGATTAGCCCATCCATTTCTCAGAAGCCGAGTGTATATTATGGCTGTGGCCATGGTGACACAAACGTGAACAAGTCATTCTCTGCCACCCAGGGGCTCCTCCTGGTCACTGGGGGGAAACGGGCCAGTGACTAGAAAGACCATGGCAAGTCTGGGGCAATGGGGCAGCACGTGGTGCTGGGGGGTGGGGGTACAAAGGAGAAGTGGGGAGGAGTAGGGAAAGCTCAGGAGAGACTCCTAGTTCTTGAAAGATGTGGAGGAGTTAGCTAGACCAATGGGAGAAGGGAGGGCTGGCCAGACAGAAAGAGTAATAGGGAGAAATCGGAGGAGGTTTAAGAAAACACTCATTTAGGGGCACCTGGATGGCTCAGTCGGTTAAGCGTCTGCCTGATCCTGGAGTTCTGGGATTGAGCCCCATGGCAGGCTCCCTGCTCAGCAGGGAGTCTTCTTCTCCCTCCCTCTTCCCCCTGCTCCTTCTCTCTCTCACTCCCTCTCTCAAATAAATAAATACATCTTTGAGAAAAAAAAAAGAAAAGAAAACACTCGTTTATTAAAAAAATATGTGAGTGCTTCCTGTTCTGGAAACTCACATATTTAAAAAATTGTTAGAAAACAGTGAGTGCCCCTCGTTCTAGGTGCTGGGGAGACTGCTGTGAATAAGACAAAGTTGCGTTCCCACGGTGATTAGCTAACAGAGCCCACTCAGCCCCGCGCTCGACTGCATGTATCATGCTCCTTAACTACTAGGTACACTCACTACCCTAACCTCCATTTTCCATTCGGGCTAACCGGAGCGCAGACCCATCTGGGGACTTGGCCAGATTGGTAAAGTCGTAAGGAGCAGAGCTGGGATTCACACCAGGCAGTCTGGCCGCCGTTGCCTGCTCTCAGCCACTCTGCTCTGTCGCCCTGGAGGAGCTTGCTGACATTCTCACGACCTACTCCGGGAGCTAAAAGTGGGTTAGCTTGGCTGGAGTAAGGCGTCAAGCACGGTAGGCGGATGAAGGCCAGCCAGTGACGGGCCTTGGCCGCCAGGCTGAGGGGCTGGGCCTTGACCCTGCATGCCGGCTAGAGGATGGCTTGGGAGGGGCAAGGGGGACGCGGGAAGCTCACCCTCCCGGCGCCTCCGGTAAGCTGTAGCGAGAATCCAAGCCGGAGACGACAATGGACCGGGACGCGGCTGCGGCCGAGGGATGCAGGGAAGGGGCGGCTCGCCGAGGCGGAGGAGGCAGGCTTGCGGCGCCAGGTCGCGGGCGGCAGCGGGCCAATGGTGTGGGGCCGGGCGGCAGCCCCTCCCGCGG